ATGCATTACAATTTAAGAGTGTGTTTTGAAATGCTACTTAATGTTTGTTTTGAAATGCTGCTTAATGTTTGGGGCAGATTATCCTGCTGGAGGAAATATAAATCCTTGCAACTCATTTGGACTATTGTGACTAGAAAAAAAACCATACTCAGCTAGACTATGTTGCCATACTTCATTCAAGGTGGCCAGACTTCCCCAATAATTAGAAGACATGCTTCCTATGGGCCACTGTGGGCTAGTTACTAAGAGAAAAATACAAAAGCCCTGTTCTGCCACCTTAACTCAGATTTATTCCGACCACTTTTTCATTATTTGGACAAAGGTGGCAGAGGCAACTTTTACAGCCAGTGACAGAGCCAAATTCCAAAATTGTAATTATAAATAGAATACAACATGCAGAGTTTTCAATTTATAGCTCTCAAGCTACTTTACGAAAACAAATGACAAATGAATTTTTAGAAAAAGAAACTCAGTTAAGTGACATGCCCAGAGCTGTGTTGCTCACCAGGAGCAGAGAGAAACAGAAATCAAGACTACCTGACAAATTAAAATACTTCTTTCCTCAGTCACTTGCCAGGCCTTACAAAAGCACGGTATACAGGTGTTAGGGCTATACATGACACTGGATTATGCCCCTGTGGTTCTGGCAAGTCGCCTGCCTGACCCTCAGTCTAACAAAACTTGCCTTGATCTGAAGTGACTGCCCATACACAGTCCAGTGAGGCATTTTGCATATGCTCATTAATGGCTTTTGTTGTATTCTGTCTTTCCCTCTGAAAACATTTTAAACAACTAACTCTGGATGCCAAAGAGACAACAGATAATTAGACAAGAGATAATTTGGGGACTAAATCAGTTAACAGCAAGAAAAATGGTTTGCATACTAGATATGCCCCACCAATGAAGTATTTTTCTCCTCATTAACTAAAAGATAGTGACATTAAATAATGTATAACACAGGGATCTTCCAAAGTGTACACTTCAGATTTAAGCACAGCAGTAGCCAGGATGCTTTTGCAAGCTGCTACACCAAAAATCAATGTAATGCTCAAAGTTCTTGCTTCTTGCTTCACCATTCTGGTTCCCATAAACACAAGCTCCTCTGGAATTCTCCTTTTGGGGTTTTGCATTACTCCACCTCCTCAAGAAAACCCATCTGGGTGAACAACATTTTAAAACCGTATATTAAGCCTCACGTGATTGAATACGGTTGACCTAACTGGCTGAAACCACTGCCAGTTTCTTCATATGCCAGGGAGTTCAACCAGCAAAAGACACGATGTTCTTCAACTACGGACATGGTGACACATGTTTCATTAGGAAAGGAGGAAGCAATGAAAAAGGACGCAGGTGGAAGGTGAAAACATTTTAAAGAGCAAGGGCAGGGTGAAGACCAAGACGACAATTTCCAAGGAAGAACAGCCAGTAGAACGAGAGCAGAAACAGAATCAGAGTGAAAATCCTGCTGATTACATATGAATACAGAAAAACAAACAGGAGGACATTAAAAAGAATAAGAAAGCAATAAAATAAAGGGGAAAACAATACGAATTGTTTATTTTTGCTTCTCCCAGTGATACAGCTACAGCCATAGAAATTTCCAGTTCATGTGCATGGCAGAAGTGAGAAAATTTGCTGGTGACATCTGAGGTAAAAGTGAGTTGCCTGTCTTTCACTCACATGAAGATATTAACATAAACTGAAGACATCCCTAATGCATTGCATGTTCTTCCAACCATCCGTCTCGCACACTACTGTGCGGCAGAGTTGGGTTTGTTGCTTCCAAAGCAGGACTGCACCCGTCCGTCAAGCAGCCCAGACAGCATTTCTGGGCTTTGAGACCTGCTGAGCAGAACTTCACCACTTAACTCTTCCTACTACAGCCACAAAGGAGAGCAGCCAGGAGACACCTTGGCCATAGAGATGCCACAAACAGGCATTGTCTCAGAACTAAATAAAAAGGGACATTTTTCACAAAGTAGTATCTCAGAAGAGTGGATAAAGATTTACAGGGCTGAACCTATACAGATTTGTAACTCCGCCTTTTAGTAACACCACTAGAGTCTGTGAACACAGCATACAGCTTAAGTCCTGTAAAAGAACTAAGACCAAAGTGTCCTCTAGATAAGCTAGTCTAACACCTGAGTTTACAGACTACTGGATACTGTGTGGAAATTTTGTGGGTCTTCAGACTAAGCAAGTTACAGCAGCCACTACATTGCTTCCATCAGTCATTTCCAGACCATTATACCCAAATCCTAACTTTATTTCTTTTCATGTTGCTTGCAGAAAGGAAACCTCTAAACCCTACCACTGTACCATTATTGTCCTCTACAAGCTCTGAAAAGCATGAAGGCTATAGCTCTCTTCATTTGTCTTGTAGGACCAGCTTTTGCTATTCCAGTAAGTCCTCATCATGCTATTATTACTGGGAACTTAATTTCCCATTCTGTGAATACTCTGTGTTATCCCATTGACCTATACAAGATTTTTATTTACATGCAGATATTGAATGTATTTGTCTGTTCTAGGCCCATCCCTTAAACTACAAACTCGGAACCCATGGACAGAAGACTCCAGAAAAGGTACTCTTCTTGTTCTTTAAACATTAAGAGGCAACCTATGTTATTCATCTCGAATATATAAACCACATTAGTACATAGGTAGTGGTTGGCAAATTGATTCAGGTTAAAAAAAAAATGTAGGCCCCTTCACCCCAAGAATTAGTACCACGCATCTCGTGCCTCACGTATTACATAGCTAGAAACAGAACAGGACAAAATCTAAAGCTCACAACAGAAGTTTCACTTATTTGAAAAAATTACCTTAAATGAATCCCCACATATAATCATCACACCCGTATTTGTACAAACCATAAGCTCCACTGACAGTCGAACTTGTGGTTATCACTGCTCCAGTAAACAAGGAGGATGCAATCCTCAATTTATCACACCAAGTGATCATATGCAGTCTCAAACATGTAAGAATTTTAGCCACCATATGTTTAATTATTCACAATACAGAGCATTAGATACAGCTCATCTTGGAAAAGTACACCGTGGCTGACAGGCCAGATACACAGCCCTGATGCTAATGAGAGAGATGACTTCAGCAGCCCTATGCCATATATGCATGCTAATGACAGAGCTCACAATTTTGCATTCATCATTGACCCAAATTAAGATTCCTTTTTATTGCACCATTCCGGTGAGCATTTGTGGTTCAGACACAGTGGACCTTGGCTCCAAGCCAATGAATGTTTTGGAACAACTAAATTCAGAGCATGCTCTGTAGTAAGAGATGCAAAATCCCAACTCTTATGCTCATCTTTTTTAAATTATGAATTATATCCCACTCTGTGCAGCTTTCCAGATGCATTTCATGTCAATCCAGATGATGTTCTGCATTATGAAAACCAAAAAATTAACTTTTCCTAATGAAGTATCCAGCAGAACAAATTATGGTATAAACGCTAGTTTCTGGGAGACAGCTGTAGGCTGCAAACAACTCATACAGAAGACACTTGCATCAAAACAAAACGTTGCAATACCCAATGAATCATCAGTTCCAAGTGAATATGCAACATCTGTCAAAGGCCAGTTGTCCCTTAACAGTAGTAAAGTACAGCTACATTGACTGAAATTTGCCATCATATTAATAGACCCAAGTATTTTCACAAGCAACCGAGTTCTAAAAGTTTATTTTATCCTGGGGAGAAAGGTATAACAAAGAGCAGCAGCTGAAAGCCACAGCCAGGCACATTTCTGCATTGAGGCTGTGGCACATAACGAGGCTTCATGTCAAGACATGAGCCACATCTTTCTCAGGCTACTGCTTCAAGTCCAGACACCCACAGCAGACAATCTTAATGACTGTTTGGCCTTATATTTTCTAACTCTATAGAACTGGAAGCCCTTCACAGAAGACCGCTTTTTACTTAAACTTGAAGACATATAATATGTTGTCCACAGCAGTGCCCAAAAACACATGTAAAAAAACACTGTTCTTGAAATTTAATTTTCAAATGTTTTAATATCAGCTTGAGGTGTTCGGTAACACATAGATCACTTCTTATAAGGTCTTCAAGAAATGTGCATTTAATCTGGAAATGCTCTTCACTGAATTTCTGTTAGATTTGAGCAAACATACAGTCTTTCCCTGAAAAAATTAAGAGCTGGAAATGACATAGTGAATATATTGCCTGGTACTTTTCCTGCATCAGCAAGTACACTAGGCAAAACACAAGCTTCTAAAACATTCAGATACCACCTTGACACTGGGAAATAGGATATAGCTGATCTGCCAAGAGCCAATTTAATATTTCTAATCCCACCATTTTTTAAGACTGTAATAAGTATTTGTTAGAGGAGTGTTTGTTTCCAAGCAGTCAAGACTCTGCCCACACTAAAGGAAAGGCTATTCTGGCAGCTTGGGCGCTGAGAAGGTCTCATCTTCATAAATAAACCCCCCAAAAGCTTTAAGGAAAACCAGCATCAGGTGCTATTGTAGTAAGCAATAAGCAACACTGAACATCCATAGGTGTTTTTCAGAAATACGTCAGATGGTGCTGCTATTGGAAGTGCCTGTACTCACCCAGCAGCTGCTGTGTTACTAACAGCAGCAGAAAAGCAATTGCCACAGCAAGAGCTAACAGTCATTTCCGTACCTGCTTTCTCCTCGAGCATTTGAACCTTTTCCACTGAAGTTACTAGTTTTGCTATTGGCTTGACAGCATGCAAAAAAAGAAAGCCACTCAGCAAACACTTACAACTCCTGCTAGTGAGCTTATGATACAGTAGTTGCCACCAAATACAATAGTTCCCGATGAATTCAGCTAGGAAGCAATGATGTATCAGACTCGAAGTAGATGAATACGTTGATTATGAAATAGTTCAGATGCAGCGCACTCCTCAGGAATTACTACCACGACATCTTGTGAAAGGTGCTCTCTCTCCCCCTGCCCCTCTTTTCCCAGGCCTCCCATTTATCTGTGTAGGAAGATGAGTATCACATCCCCCTTCTCTAAGGTAAGTGATAATTACTGCAGCCCACAAGTCCCTGAAGTTATGATGCTAAATTATAATTAAGGATTTTGAGATTTCAGAAGACACCCATATGCATCTATCTCCTATGAGATCTTAAGCAGAGTTGCATGGACTTCTTCAGAAACTCCAGCAATAAAAGAAGGGACAGAAACGAATTTGCTAAGAAATGGAAATGCCGTCGGCTGTGAATTTCATGTTCTGGGCTAGTTTAAAAGAGGCATTTACAAAGAAAACAAATAAAAGTCAGTGTCATGCTTTGCAATACAAGGCAAAAATAACATTGCATTGACTTAAAATAAATTCTAAGATTTATTAATCTACTTGTTAATTTTTTTTTTTTTTTTAAGACTGACGATATTAATCCTGAAGCCCCGAAGGAAGAGAACGCAGGGTATATAGACAAGGGTGATTTGCTGCCCAGCCACAAAAACCTGAAACCAGAGGTATCAGTACCAGACGCTGAGCACAGGGATGAGCCCCAGACCACTAGAAAACAAGGAAGAACTGGCAGTGAGCATCAAGTGAAAAATAGCCTGGAAAGCACCAGTTTCCTTGCTCTGCAAAATAAACCAGGTTTGGCTTCTGATAACCAGGACAGCGATTCTGGAAGCAGCAGCAGAGAACAGTCCAGCTCTGAGCATTACCAGTTCAGGAGGCACGAGAAACCCAGCAAGACAGCCAATCGACGTGTTCTGGGCGATGCAGAAAATCCAGTGGATGCTCTCAGTCTTGATCGTGAGCATGACATATGGAAATATAATAAAAATACAATTGGCCTATCTGAAAAAAACAGTGAAAGTGGTGAAGAAGAAGGTGTGGAAGAAGAGGATGAGGAATGGGGCGAAGAAACTGATTACAGAGATATGAAGCACAAAGGCCACCAGACAAATAAAGGTAACCAATACAAAAGACAGCAAAATGAAAACAGTATGCAATCTGATGAAATCCTGAGAGGTTCCAGTCAACCAATCCGGATAACCAAGAGACATGGTGAGAAATTTGACCTAGAGAAAGAAGAGCGAGAGAACAGCCATAAGAAGCCCTATAAAGAAGAAATCCCCCTCTCTCAAAAACCCCATAACAAAGATCAGGAGGACAAATGGCAAAGCCAAGAGAGGAAAGACAATATTGAAGTAAGCTATCAGAGTGATCACGACACAGTGGTGAAAAGACAAGATACGCAGGACACTAATGCTGATGACGATGGTCATGACAGTGGTGACGCTGATGGTGAGGAAGATCTCAGCTACACCTGGAAAGAAGCAGCCTATGAGGAAGAGGAGAGAATCCAGAGTAATGACCAGGAGAGCACCAGTACTGAGCATGAAGGGGAAGGAACCAACCAAGATGACACTGCTGTTCATAGAGAGACCGAGGATTACCAAAATGTCGAGATTAAAGACCTTACTCACTCTGAACAAGATGATTACAATCATGAGTCACCTAATTCCGACAGCGAGCAACAGCTGGAAACGAGTAGCTCTGTTCAGAGCATTAATTCAATGGAAAGTGAAGATAAGGTAAATTCTCTTTAAAATAAAGTTGGAACACTAGAAAAAGGGGGGGAACCAGTCTCAAATTTAAATTCCTGATGATTGAAAGGATATTTTGGAGAAAAAACAGATGTCATAATTTACTATTATAATTTATTAATATGCAGAAATCTCATCTCCCCTTTTATTCACTACTTATCTGGTTCATGCTGTGTCACTTCACATATAACATTTAGATGAATTGTACCAGAAAGGAAGCGAGCACAAGTCATGTAAGAGCTCCAGCCCCGATGGGCTGTGTAATGAAACACACAAATAAATATGGATACACAGATACAACACCTGGAACCCAGTCTAAAGCCGACTAGGAAAGCCTGTTCACTCCTCTCTCTCAAAGATTTTTCAACACTACCATGCAAAAGTGAACAGCTTGGAAAGGCAGAGCTAGAGTCCCTGGAATAGTTACCATCCTAGTGGCTACGGCACTTTCACACAAGATAAAGGATGTGAACTTTGTCCCTTCAGACAAAGGAGGATGTTGCACTTAGATCTGCCGTACCCCGGTCAGCCATTAGATAACCAGTGGACTATCAGTGAGGGGTGTTCTTCAAAAGAAAGAGTGAGTTTTCCTATGGCTATTAAATAAGGACCTGTAATATTTAAAAAAAAAAAAAAAAAGACAGGAGGCATCCATTTGAAAGAGGGCAGGCACCTCCCCACAGCACCAAAGAAGGGTCGGGACTGAAGACGTGTCCTTCCCTTCTGCTCCTGCTTCATGCGTCTGGCCTGGCAGCTCACAGTGCTGCTGCCCCCAGGCTCTACCAGGAGGCAGCTCACGCCCGCTGACCTGGAGGGCCCTGGCGCAAACTAAGACTTGAAGCACCAATTCTGCCAACCTCAAGGCACTACACTGCTGTATGTCAGCTACCGCGGAACCTCCAGGTGCTCAGGCCTTACTGAGCTCCTGTTTCTCTCTCTCCACCTCCTACTTTTTTTTTTTCTTCCAAATAACAGAGCACCTTAATACTACCAGAGGCTTTATGCCCTTCTTGCTTTTTGCATGGCAACCCCTTTCTGCTGCAAACAGAGCAAACTGTGCCTCAGTCAGCTCTATATTTGTACCCGAAAAAAATTTGTCCAAGTATTTTTTTCTTCCCAAGATTTACCACAACTTCTGCTTATGTCTCTGTGACTGTACAGGTTAAGACTACAGGCAGTTCCTATGATGAGATGGAAAGTGCAAGCAACAGGAGCGAGAAGGCTCTCCTGGGTAAGCCACAAGCAAAGCCATCATGTAACTGCTAACTCTCTGCGGCTGAGGAATCTGCTGGTCCGCATTTCTTTTCTGCCTTTGGCAGCACGCGATTTCACATGACTGAACTGTGCTTGTACATAATCCCACATCACAGTTGTGTTCCCAGAGAATCCCTTCCATACACCCTTGGATTTACTCATTTGTTTGTGAAAAACATTTGTAGACAGTGCACAAATTTTTGTGTCAGTTATAGAGGAATGGGAATTACCTTGCATTGAAACTGTTTGGTTTCAGAACAGTAGCTTGAGCTCAACTAGGAGCGGGACAAGTGCCAGTGCTGGATTCAGCAAGGACAGGTGGGATATGTTTCACCAAAGGGAGCTGGAGGTGAATGTCAGTCCTTACAGAAGAAATAGCTTTTTCTGAGAAATTTATTTCCCCATCCAACTCAAACCTGGGACCGCTAGAAGTCTCACAAAAACCCTCATTTAAAGTTTGGCTTCCTTTGTTCAATACAAGATCCAGCTGCATTTTAACAAACTTACAAAAAGCACTTGACTTCTTGGTGAATACTGGGCTGTATTTTCCTCTGACTGTCAGTGGTACCTGACAAACACTTGGCTTCACCCCATCCCCTCTAACAGTCCCTTCTTCTTGCTATGATTGCTAGACCCATGTAGGAACTTCCACTGCAAAAGAGGTAAAGTCTGCCATGTGGACAAACAAGGGAAACCCATCTGTATTTGCCAAGATCCTGCAGCTTGCCCTTCCACCAAAGACTATGAGCATGTAAGTATTTCATTCAATGCACAGCATGGGGGAAAGCCCACTAAAATATTTACAATATAACATATTCCCCTGCTATTATTTAGAATAATTCTACCTTAAAAAGCATGCAAGTGGGTTTGGGTGATTCCAGTAATTGTAAAAGTAAGTATAAAGTACCCAAAGTCACTGACTATAGCTTGAGAATAGTAGGAACACATATAGCTACATAGTACCTAAAGTGATTTGCTTCACCTAGTCTCTCAGGGATCATAGCTTTTCCCTGTCACTAAAAGTTCTATTTATCCATTTGATGCGTTAGAGCATATACTGAATACTAGTACATATCTAGTGTAATAGTCATGTACCATCTCAGAAACTACATTGCTACCACACAAAAATAAATTCAAGTGTCTCCAAACTGGGTGTCTAAGTACAGACAGCTAATCCTTATGTAGGCATATAACAACTACAATTTTCAATACTTCTGGTCACATGTATTCCCTGGGGGTATTCACAACTGCTACATCATATGTTAACGATACTTTTATTATTCTAATGCCTATATAAGTGACCAGAATTTTTCTCAACACAGTGGTGGCAGTGGTTTTGTTTTTCACTCCTCCTCTAGGTTTGTGGTACGGATAATAAGACTTATGATGGCACATGTCAACTCTTTGGCACCAAATGTCAACTTGATGGGACAAAAATGGGACGCCAGCTGCACCTAGACTATATGGGCTCCTGCAAATGTAAGGCTTGTTTCTCTGTGAAGAATTCACCTGGGTATAAAGAGCCAGTAGCCTTAACCACCAGCTAGCTTAAAGTTATCTTCTTTCTCCCTGTGCTCTCCCCCTTCTGCATCAATTATCTGCTAATTAAGACCTTCAAACCCTAAACATGTCTAAAAAGTCACTTTTTCTATAATTAAGGGTATTAAGCATCTGAATCCCAAAGACATCCCTCCTGTGCTTACACTAATTTGCTGTCAGCCATCTTCCCCCTGCACTGTCTTACATGCTCCCATTGCTATAGCATCTGAAGATGTTTTTTTAATACCTTGACCAGAAAACCAGTATTTACAGTCAGTTAATAAATGAAAATGTCAAGTCCAAAAAACCCCCAAAAAACTACTTAGATTCCAAATGCAGAAGTCAGAATCTACAAGCCAAAACTGATTTCCAAGCTCTTCAATTGCTGCATAACCTGGGAGCCGAGTGCACTCTCAGCCAGAATATTCCTTTGCTATTGAGGACTGTTTCATGCAACTGGCTGATAACAGTTTCACTGCACAACTCTGCTCAGAAGCTGCACAGATATATAGAGGTTCTGGCTTGCACAACTGGTTAAGCATGTGCACCAAAGAATGGTAGATTTATAATTGAACCCATTAGTTGAGGTCCCAATTTTATGTATTAACAGCTCCATCAATTTTAAGCTTAACTGGCATTTTGCTAGTGAGAATCAAATCTGACTTGGCTCAGAAATGCTCGAATGGGGATTTAACAGATCACTTGTTAACAAAAGCTTTCCTGTTTGGCACAGACATCCCCCACTGTACTGATTATGAAGTGGATCAGTTCCCCCTCCGGATGCGAGACTGGCTCAAAAACATCCTCATGCAATATTATGAACGTGATCTCGATACTTCTGGATTTTTAACTGAAAAGCAAAGGAGTAAGGTCAGCAATCCTTTACAAATAAGACCACACAGCTACATTGTTAGAGCCGGACTAACCATGTGAAAAAAAGTGATTCACACCTTATGAGTTCTCCCGTTTCCTATGAGCATTCCCTTTCTGGTTAAGGCAATTTAGACTCAATTAGATTCGTTACGTTGCAAAACACACTTACACGTCCCCTCGCACTCATTGAAGCTGAGACACATTTCTACTATGAATGTTCCTTTTGTTCAAGCAAATGCAAGCCAGCTGTATTACTTTGAAGCCAGTGTCTACAGACAAGAGGCAGAAAAGGCAGAATTAGTGCACACCTAGATAAACATCGTTCGCTTGAGAAGACACAAACCAGCTTCTCTTCAGGGAAGTGCTTTGTGACAAACCTGCTGGAAAGATCAACTAATACATAGATAAGGATGACCCAATTTATGCAGTCAATGCCATTTTCCAAAGGACTTGAGGAAACTAAGCAGCCATAAGATGGAAGGTCTGGGTATGGATAACTAATTAAAAGTCAGAGTAAGAGGGAACAGCCAGCCAAGAGCTCACCTGTGGAGTCCCAAGAGTTGAAAGGACTTTTGCCATTCAGCTTTTGTTAAGTGACCTGGAAAAGGAAGGTAGGGGACAAAGCCTGCTGACAACTTCAAAGGAAGGAAGGACGGACTTGGACTCACCACGAAGAAAACTGCTCAAGGACCTCATGAGAGTGAGCGACTGGGCAGTCACACAGCAGGATTCGAGACAGAATTACAATAGAGAGCTTAGGGGACCCTCATGGGGGCAGGGGAATCCCTGTCTTGGACTGACAAAAAGTAGCTCCTCTTCTGTTCTTGAGACACACCTTGTACTTGGCCATCAATACAAAAGTACCCAAAAATGGACTCAACAGTTAAGGGTATCATTTGCACTTTTTAGTCCAGCCACATACGCTGTCCATCTACACCATGATACTCAAGGGCTATAAAATCACACGCTTAGTTTTAAGAGAAAAAAGCTGCTTTCTACCATCCAGTAGACCTGCAGCATCACACTACATTGGCTTAAAATGGAGTAAACATCTATTACCATTGGGCCTTTTTTTTTTAAAGAAGGATTTATGTCAAGTGAATTGGTGACGGTAGTTTGTTTTTGAAGATATAGATGCCATAACTGCCTAAAAAGCCATAACTGTTAGAAAATAGTTTAAAAGTTAAACCAAGACCTGGGCTGCTCTAACTCTGGAGTAGGAGGTGCATGGAGCAGGTTTATACAAAATATGCTTGAGCAACATCAAAGACTACTTACACAGTTACCAAGAGGGACGTTGACCTATCCAGAATATCTCATACTAAATGGTACGAATTAGATGATTTCTGAGATGGCATATTTCACACCAAAATCCGAGTTGCTTGCCTCAGGACAGAAGATCAACAAATGTGATAAAATTGGTTGCATCTCCTACTAACCTGAGGGTACTGCCCTGCTTAGCTCAGCCTGACTATTAGGCCACAGGAACTTCTCTTCCTGTCTAGTTACTACCAAAGTTGACACAGACAGCAACAAAAATCATCTGCACTACTTGAGGCAAGTTTTCATGATGTGTATGGTCGAACACTAAAACCCGTTTCCCCAGTGGTATTTTATCAAGATTCATTTCTCCAAACCACCTCCTTGCTGAATAGTTCTCTTCAGGACAGACCTTCATCCCTGAACAAAAAATATCAACTTCTCTGTTGTGTTCAGGTCAAAAAAATCTACCAGAATGACAAGCGCCTCGTGGCTGGTGACCATGCAATTTCGCTGCTCCTGCATGACTTTGAGAAAAATTATCACATGTATGTGTATCCTGTGCACTGGCAGTTTCATCAGCTTGATCAGCACCCTGTTGACAGGTAAAAAAAAACAAAACAAAACTTTGCAGGTTCAGTTACAATTTGCTGTTTAAGGCTGTTTTACTTTTCTAAACCACTCAAAGGATTCTCTACATACAGGACCAGTCCCTCAGCTGATAGAAGCCAGTATCCCCCTCTTTCTAAGGAGGCATTAGTCTCTAACAGAACTTCTCTCATTGTTTTGCTGGAGCCACGTCTTATGTCAGAACCTGCTATCCTCTTGCCTTTCATAATCATCACGTATTACACCTTAAGCTCTACAGTGTCTTAATAGCTGCTAATGCCATCATCCTGAAACAAAACAAGGCTCACGAGATCCTGTTATTACTGAAGCTAAGAGCAACAGATTAAGTACAAAGGGCAGAGGCCTGTCAGCAATAATTCACTAGCGAGGTACCCATAGTTTTCAACTAATACTACAGAAGTCTATGGGGCTTTGAGCAACCTGGTCTACTGGAAGGTGTCTCTGGCTGTGGCAGGGGGATTGGAACCAGATGACCTTTAAGGTCCCTGGCAATCCAAACCATTTTATGATTCTGTGATTCTATGAAGTGTCACAGTTCATCATCAGTGTCACAGTTCAGAGGAAGCCCCCAGCTTCTGAGAACATGACTCAGATTTCAGGCTTTTGGTCATGGTACTCGGTGGTGGGATCCATGTTTCAAGGCTGCAGGCCCTCAATACCTTGTGCTGATCACGCCTACTGTCTAAGCACTTTGCCATCTTGATCTCCAGAAGATTAATGGCAAAACTCCATAACTGATCAGTTGTGAACAAGTCACAGTGATACTTTTTCTAGAAAAAAATGTTAGCAAACAAATAGCAGTTAAGACATATTAGTTTATCAGGTATTACACATCATCGTAAGGGCCTGGGACAGATTCAGTACAGAAGCACCACAACAGAATCCAGCAGGCATCTCTGTCCAAGTCACTGTTGTCATCTTCTAGCAGCTTAGAGCGTCTTTGATGATCCTGATGATTTATTAATGAAATACAGCTCTACATACCTGCTCTTTCTTTCAGATTATTAACACACTCTGAGCTCGCGCCTTTGAGAGCCTCCCTTGTTCCTATGGAACACTGCATAACCCGTTTCTTCCAAGAGTGTGATGGAGACCAAGACAAACTCATTGCTTTGAAGGAATGGTGCCGCTGCTTTGGGATTAAGGAAGGTAAACCTAAAAAAACAGGCCAATGTACAGGACAAAATGTTCCTCTCGAGACTAGGCACATTCTCAGACCACAATGTATGGGAAAGAAATTGTAGCCAGAAGCGCATGGCTACTGTGCATGGAGGCAAATGGAACAGTAACAGGACTGCAAAAGGTGCAAGGCTCTGAATTGTTTTATAAAGGTAGGAAAAAGTTATCTTTTCCACGAGGAAAAATTTGGGAGGTAGTTTGTACTAAATATCAAATCATTCCTGTGTGGTGTCTGAACCTATATGTTCTGCACATCTGCCTCTCAAGAAACACTCTTATTTTATCCTTCAGTGCCAAAGGAAAGGCAAAGCGAGCTTGTACTTTTAAATCAGTGGTCAAAGCATACTGATTGAAAATGCATTTAAGGATCTCAAGCCAAGCAGGGAAAATAACTGAGATCTCTCACTGATCAAGTAACTTTGCTCACCTCTAGATTACTATATACAATGCAAATGTTGTCATCATGCTGTAGTTGCAGGCCAAACCGTCTATTTTACCTAATCTGTCAGATGCAACACATGTTCAGATGGTGCCCACCAGACTGCATGCATCAGGAGACTTAGGCAGAGGCAGGGACGGTTTTTGAATCCTAAATGGACTAGCCATATGTTTGGTTCAGCTCAATCCACATTGAGACATCACTAGGAAAGTGAAACACTAGGTACTACTGTGCTGGTGATGTCTCTAGAATTAAGGCAGCAGCTGAGCAGAAGCTGTCATGATAGCAATTTGAGATTTACATGACTACATTCAACCTAAGGCATTCTTTCACAATCTACCTTCTTCTGCCGAACCCCAAGTGACAGCTGAACAATACTGCCAGTCATTAAGCAAGGGTAGCAGTAGCACAGGTTAATCCTAGAACAGAAGGCATTTGGTTAAACATGTGGACTGAAGAAATGTGTTGAAAATCCTACTAGCAACTCCCTGGTTTTAAGTGGAGGCTGATTCTGGTCAGAGATCAGACATGCAGAGCCTTCACTCTTCCCACAATTTTTCCAGCTCTTCTGATGACAATTTACCAGTCACAAACCGCATGTGGAAATACGCTGTGAGGAGTTATCACAATACACATGTACTGCTGCCAATGACTGTTCACCCAAAGAGGGGTTTAGGGTCAGTCATTTGTGAAGAGGGGGTGGAAGGGATTCTTGGCTCACAAGCAGATCAAGGAGACCTAACACTAGAAACAAGAAAGCACCTATCAGGAAGGGTCTAAATGAATGGCTCCTGAATATGATAGCAGCAACCATAATTGTTTTTTGTTAGGGATAGCATTCCCCTACATGAGCCCTCTGAAACTTTAGTGTATCACTTTCTTGATAGTGATGCAGCATAAAAATGTCTCTTTGGCATCAAATGTTAATAACATTTTCTTCTTCTTTGTTGCAGAAGACATAAATGAAAATCTCCTGTTCTAAGCCTGGCTGAACAGAATCCCAGTGCTGCCCCAAAACTGGTGAAATATGTGAATCCTGTTTATTTCTGTAATTAACAGCTTCATCGTTTTCAAGACAAAGGTGGCATAAGGTTCACTGCATTCTTATCAAATAACACAAGTGTAGAAAAGTTCTACACTCATTAACAGCAGGAAAATTTAACTACTCCAAGTGGTTCATAGCTAAACAACCAGCATTTTCCCCTGCATGCATCCATGATCTCTCTGAACCAATAAATAGTACTAACCTGATGACCGAGCTGTTCACAAAACTCTTCAGTAGAATTATAGGATGTGGATTTTACCATACACTGCAGAAAATTACCTTGAAATAGGACTTGTTTCCTTTATTTACTGTATTGTCAGTTTAACATTCTGCATAGAAGCCTCAAATAAAACAAAAGTCTACCTAAATATATGGGTTTTGTCAGAACTTTGTCAAAGAAAAGGTATCAAGGCAATGGTTCAATGGAAATTTCATTTTAGGTTTAAGGGAGAAGAAACTAGAGAGCGTAGATCATATACACCAGTCCTTAAACCGTAATTCCTAAAATACATGAAAAAATCAGCACTTTTCAGATACTTCTTCCCCCACCTCTTGAAATGCAACAGTAATATACCAATGCCACACAACAGAATGCCTGCTGACAAACTGTGTAATGAGCTAATTGTATGAGCACGGTGAGTGTGGATACGTGCCAAAAGACTGATGAGCCACAGGTCCACCATCACAAGGAGCAGAGGATATCACAGCTCCAACACCTCCTTATTCTCCTTAGCGGGCACACTCTTCCTTCCTCCCGCAGAAGCACCAACTACTGCTACCATATTTCCTGAGAAAGAAATGCTAACTATTTCTTTCACCATCTCCCAAGTTTTGCTTGCCTGAAGACAGGCACAATTTACACATGAAAAATAGGACAGAATGAGATTGTTCCTGAATCCCATCACTTTTGTGATTTTAAGCCAAGCACTTCACCAAAAACACTCCAGGCATGCTCCACTGTAAGCGAGAAGCCCCAAATGCTATTCCTAGAAAGGAAGATCAGAAAACACCTTTCAGCTGAACCATGTCACCTTTCCAATGAAAAGAAAATGGGATTCAGAAATGCTGTTTTGGTAGCTCAAGCAGTGAAAGTCCACTTGCCCCTTGATAATTTGCTCTTGAACCAGCAAGGGCCGCTAATCCTAGTCCAACTCCAGCCTGATGCCCTCGAAGACAATGAATCAAGCTACAATTATTTTCAACACAGGAACTTCTTATACAAGCAAAAGATTATTTCCCACCAAAACCAGTTTCACTGACAGTTTCTCCCATAAGCCTGGCTTGTTGCTCACTTCACATTCTGTAATATCATACAGCAGTGTATATGAATCAGCCTGGACTGCATGTACAAAAGCGTATTCTCTGTGCTAATGCCATTTGAAAAAGATCCTTTCTCTGGGACTTCAAACGTCTCAGGGAAAAAGTAATTTTGACAGCATTTTTTCTGCCTGACTGCAGCCTATTACTTATTTGCTTTTTCTACAGCCAAGAGTCAACCACCTTAAAACAATCAAATATAGTTCACAGAAGGACAACACCCAAGGGACTGACCTGTTCTCTACTGAGACTAATACTCACCATTGCTCTGCTCAGACCAAGTACTAGAAAAAGATGAATTTATCAGGGCAAACAGGGAAGATTTTCCTTTATACAGTCCAGGTTCTACAGGGCAAACAACGATCACCACCAAGATGATTACAGCTGTGGATTTATGTAGCACCTAATGTATTAAGGAGCAGATTGGCATCCCACCTGTTTTGAAATTCTCAGTGATGCTGCCACTTCTGCTTTTCCAGTGCAAGACACAGAAACGGAGCATTTGCTAATGTATGTATAGATAGATTCTACAGTCACAGTATGAGAAAAGTTTTTGCCAGAGCTCTTGTAGTCCACGAAGAGGCAAGCACCACCAATATTTAATCTGCAAATTATAACAACATTAAGAGTAAGGATGATAAATGAAAGCTAGTTTCCCCATCAGTACTTTAACTAGATTGTTACTATTCTAGCTTAACTTATATTTTAATCTTTATTATTTCTTCGTTTTGTGAAGTAGATAAGATAAAGTTAGTGAAAACTTTACTGACCTTCTGTAGATTTGATTGTTTCCATTTAGTTTTAATGAACCTAAATTAAACGTCTGTTTAGTCATAAGTATTTTCCCTCTCTCCAAGGGAGAACCAAGAGTGAACTCATGTTCCTACCAAGACTCAGGCACCCTTTGAGACACATGCAGACGCACATACATACAGATGCACATGTAGACAGTACACACAAATGCACTCATTGCTCACACCTAAACCATGGCACAATCTTATCCCCTGCGTGCAGCTGGTTATAATATGAACAGGACTAAAATTACCTGACCTACTGACTTTCCCTCTATTTCAGCTAAAACAGCAGGTCAACGTTAAGTGAGAAGAAATGCAGATGGGGATAGATGTTTTTAGACAGGTCCTTTAAGGAATATCAAAGTCCAGGATGCAGCCATAACTTCCAACCCTAATGGAAGACTGACAGCACGTGGGATATTCCAGGGGAAACATCAACCTGCACTTTGCTCTCCTCATATTTTAAGCCAAAGCACCCACTGCTATGGACGTAACACCCGACCAGACAATCCTGCCTTCTGACCCAGGACAACCACTGCTAAGTCTTCTGCAGATCAAGTCTGTCCTAGAACTGTACGTATCAGGGCAAGCGTCCTTCATCAGCTACATGCACTAATCCTGGCGACGATAAATTCAACAGAAATGGCCTGCTCTCATCCATTTAGGTTTCACCTGCTATGAGGCAGGACATTCAGCTCTCAAGCCAAGCAGGAGCTCCTCCTCCATTAAATGTGGCTTCTTTGAGTCACTGGGAGTAGAGCTTTCAAGACAACACAAATAGGCTTAAAAACAGAAAAAAAGTTTAGCTATATTTTGTTACTTTAGGCTTAAGAACAGACAGAACGCCATCAATACCACAAATGAGCAAGACCACCTCTGTCCAGGTTCCACCAACTGGCACCAAACAGCAGTTAATTCACAAAACCTTGCCTCCAAAATTTAGTGAAATTGCTCAGGTAAGTGGGTTGCATCTGTGCGAAGAGGTGCAAGGATCCGATCCAAAATTAACAAACCAGAAGGATATAGCTGCCAAAGGCAAGCTGGCTTACCTCTTTTCACTGACTTGGCCACCTGAATCTCCTTTTCAAGGGAGATCAGTCTCCTTATCAGTGCTGTACCGATACCAGATGTGTTTGCATTAAGTTTAGTTTTCAGTCCTCCTGCACAGCCACATGGAAGCCTCCAAAAAGAAGGAAAACCATCCTTATGCTATAGACTCTGGATAACATGTTGTTCTTCTCGATGGCCTTACATGTACTCTGCAGGAAAAGAACGGATTAGCATTTCAGCACATTTCCCAAATATATCTGAAGTGTATTTCCATTTGCATCTGGTTTTGGGTTTTGTTTAGTTTGTTGGGTTTTTTTTCCCCCAGTCACTGTTAATAGTTATTTTTATTGAGGATGAGAACAATCTTTCCAACTAGTCAACAAATAACTGTGCGAACACAAACATACCAATGTACAAAATTCCGTAAAAGGCATGTTTTCTTCTTTCTGCTCTTTCATCCCTGTGCTTTGTGACCAATATCTACTCTATTGCCTCCACAACAGGCAAATAGGATGCTTTGTAACAGATTTACAGTTCACCTCGCATCCTTATTAAGTTGCAAGTGCATGTGTGATCCAACAAGTACGTATTATGCTTCATGCCCTCAGACATGTCCCCAGAAAAAAGCACGGAGATGAGCTGTTGATGTCAGTGGTCTTGAACAGGTCCAACATAATGCCAACTTCTTCTGAATTGCATCCTACAAGATTTTCCCCAGATATATGTATTAATTTAAACTTCTTATTTACCAGTTCAGACTTTTCTACAAAAATAGTCACCAAACAAAGACCAAGCAAACACTGTAATTGAAAACTCATTTAGAGACTTGTCTTTCAATAGCTTTCTGACATCTGGCTATATACAGGTTAAGCAGAAAGCACAGCCCTCAAACTGCAAGTATGCTGCCAGTATACAGCTGGCCTCAAAAGGGAGCAGTGACTTTAATTCAAAAGTTCACATTTCTTCAGGAAAAAGGAGGTAATTTTTGAATTTGTAACACTCCCTCTCAGTTAGCAGCTTCAGTACTCTAGGCGTTATTACCCAAGTTTTCCTCCATCATCACTAAAGTGCAGAACCCTACAGTCAAAATATCTATACTGAAAAAATACACAACAAATATTCCTTTTATAACACACACGCTTCCATTGGCAGACCCATCAACCCGCCAAGGATTAGTAAGGGTCATATAAAAAAAAAAAAAAGGCTTCTTTATCAGCTGAGAAGTAAACTAAACATCCAAAATGTATTAAGAAGGTATGATTAATGGCATCCTGCATTTTTCTGATGTAAGCTGTAGCACTCAAACCTGTATATATAGACAGCAGCCATTCACGTGACCCTATCACTGGAGCCAGCCGACTTTCTCTGATCCACTGACGAGCTGTTCAACATGCAGTCCAAAGGTAATACAGATGCTTTAATGTTACCTGGACTAAATTTCATGACAAAAAATCCTTTGGGGTACGGCTGTAGACTGCATGACTGCGAAGGGGAAGGAAAAGCTTTTTTCCCACGGTGAGAGTGGTCAAGCACTGGCATAGGTTGCCCAGAGAGGTTGTGGATTCTGCATCCTGGGAGATGTTCAAAACCTGACTAGACAGTCCTGGACAGCTTGCTCTAGCTGACCCTGTTTGGGCACGTCTGGGGAATGGACTAAATCTCCAGAGGTCCCTGCCAACCTCAGCCATTCTGAGAGTCTGAAAAAAAGAGCATGTAGAACTACTCAGAGAAATACCAATGCTCTGCTGCTATGCTCATTGCTTAAAACAAAAAATTGCAAGAGGCTTCCATAAGCATTGTTAGGAAAGAACAAAATTAGGGATAGGTAAAATCAAAGACAAAAATAATGAGAAGTAAAATGCTGACAAGATCTCAAAGCACAGACAAGGCAGCAGGAAGCAGAAGCATAGCAAGCTTTATTCCATAACGACTTATCCTGACCATGTATGTGAGCAACTAAGGTAGAGATGACAGTTAAGGTCACACCACAAGCCATATTCAAGTAGGAACAGCTCCTGCTGCCTGATTTTCCTTTCTCTCTACACAGAGGAGAGCCATACTCCTCCAGGTCTTGTCTTTTGCCAGAACCAGGACACTATAATTCTGTTTTCAATCTCTTCACAGGACTCTCTCAAAATGCAATTCCTCAATGCCTGCTGCTTTCTTGTGTTCTGAGCACGGTTCTTGCTCCTGTGAAAGCAGTAAGTACTGAAGAAGAAACTAAATAGGCATCCAATGTGGGAAATGTTAACACTGTAAACTGTAAATGACATGCTTTTAAACACAGCACCCTTCAGAATATTCAGGTGGTACAGGCCTCAACTTATTTATGTTATTACCATTTGTCCTGGTTTCAGCTGGGACAGAGTTAATTTTCTTAGTAGCTGGTATAGTGCTGTGTTTTGGATTTAGGATGAGAATAATGTTGATAACACGCTGATGTTTTAGTTGTTGCTGAGCAGTGCTTACACTAGTAAGGACTTCTCAGCTTCCCCTGCTCTGCCCGGTGCACAAGAAGCTGGGAGGGGGCACAGCCAGGACAGCTGGCCCAGACTGGCCCAAGGGCTATGCCATACTGTGTGATGTAATGCCCAGTATATAAACTGGGGGAAGGAGGAGGAAGGGTGGGATGCTCAGAGTGATGGTGTTTTGTCTTCCCAAGTAACCACTACACCTGATGGAGCCCTGCTTTCCTGGGGATGGCTGAACACCTGCCTGCCCATGGGAAGTAGTGAATGAAGTCCTTGCTTTGCTTGTGTGCATGGCTTTTGCTTTACCTATTAAACTGTCTTTTATCTCAAGCCATGAGTTTTCTCACTTTTACGCTTCCGATTCTCTCCCCCATCCCACCATGGGGGAGTGAGCAAGTGGCTGTGTGGGGCTTAGTTGCCAGCTGGGGTTAAACCACACCACCACTCTAGACTCTCAACTTATTAATTATTGAGCCCTCCATAAACTTTAAAGGAAAAAACAAATGTAAGCACTAGTAATAAGTAACAATGGGGCCCATATTTTCTCCATTAGCTATTTCAGCTGACAGTATTACAGACCTTGAAGATTAATAAGTTCCCTTTGCAGAACTCTCTTTGCTTTCTAACAGGAAAAGAAAGAATCAAAGTCAAAATGAAGTATTGAGAATTTTTAATTTTTTTGAAGAAATACAAGCCAGAGGGATTATACCCTACTCTAAAAGAAAATTCATTCTTTTTCTACAGGATAGCAATAATGAAAGCTCCGGTTTGCTCTATATAGAGTTGGCAAGTCTTTTTTTTTTTTTTTTAAATTAACAGAATCTCACTAGTTTTAACATTTGTATTTAACTGGGGATTTTGGTACTGAACACGAAAATACTGACTCAAGATGACCTTTTTTTACCGTCTCTTTTCCACCTTCGTGCAGGCAGGCGGCTTGCTCTGCAGGCTTACCAAGCTCCGGTCTGAGGTAACTGCCCGGTAGCACAACGGGACGTAGGCTGGAGGAAGCTCTAGCTGGCCAGGGCGCGCTCCATCGGGGATATTGAGGGAGCAGCTTCTGACGACAAACTACCACGGAAGGGAGCTGGGGAAGGACTGCGATTTATCTTTGAAGCTCGAGGACAGTAATCCACTGTGCCTTCTCATTAGCAGACATGCATTCTATGGGGTAACTTTAATACGAAAAACCCCTCTATTTCTTCAGCTTGAAAAGAGGCTACAAACTTTCTCAAAATTCTGCTGCTGTTCCTTAGATATTCTTTGAGTATTTGTTTGGGTATCTCAATCCTTGGGGACAGAAAATCTTTTACATATTTTAAAAAAAAAAAGTAGTTTAGGATAAGTTAGAGGCACAACACATAGGGCTGAAAAAATAACACTTTCCAACACATCTAACTTGCATTAATATACATGCTAACATCACCTATATAAAGAAGTTGACCATTTTCCAGAAGATTTGCCGAACGAAAAGAAATGCCACTGCATTTGCTTACTTACAAACTTTCAATATTGTAATTATGCAATAAATTTCAGGATACGAGTAAGCATCAAAACCTGATTAATAACATACTGGGATACTCAAAGTAATTGCATTCTGTACAGCATACCATCTAAGACCACACACGCCAACTGAAAATTGTCTAACCAGAAAGCTTTCCTGGGAACGTGACAATCAAAACAACATACAGCCGAGTCCACTTAGCCTGTCAAAAAAAGGCTTTAATGCAAGACCGGTGAGGACTGAAAAGATTCCTTACAGAAATTCTGCTTTCCAGGAATAACACACTGACTATGGAAACAGTGCAGTTTTTCTATCTCATTGGAGTATGGTACTTTCAGAATTGAAATTTTTTTTTTCTCCCGTTTTCATCTTTAGTACTGCACATTATGTTAAGCACTTCATGTGTAAACAGTAACATTCAAGAAAAAAATCACGCTATTTTGACGTGCCACAGTATAGTCACCCTTGTTCTCAGCCATGATGAGCTGCACATTCACCTCCCATGAACTTAAGGGTCTGCTCTTGTGGTCACGCTTTCAAAACCCAACTACACTGCTAGGGGCCTGCTCTGCATAATGTATTAATTGCACATTAAAGCGATTAGCTGCTATTAATTCTAACCTGCCATTCTCTTCTTACTCTGCAGATACCTGGAAAACCATGGATATCTCCTACGGAACACTGTTGCTTGCTTCTAAATAACCTTCAACTTCCTACAGCTCCTTCCCACCTTTTTTCTCACCTGTGCACCGGCAACAGGATACGTAACAACCAAGTCCTGTTTCACACACCCACCTCTGAAGTCAGTGTGGGTTATAGTGCACAGCTCTCTCAAACCCTGTCTCATTACTTTTTAAGCTTCAATAAATGCTGAGCATCGAATTTCTTAGTTTTCTTCATCTTTTCTTAAGAAGAAATATACCCAAGTCATTTCAGTGATCCTGTTTCCAAAAATCAGGAGTAGAAAGGGAAGGGAACTCCTGAAGCTGGCTATGCCTTTTGTCCATTCGGGGTTTCACAGGTCTTGATCTGGCCCTATCAGATATTACCCAGTCTCCATACTATGCTGAGGACAGATTAATAAAAATCGTTTCTGCCTAAGCAACCACTAGATCTTACCTGTGATTTGAAGAAAGATTTTTTTTCTTTCCATAAACCAAGTCTATGGAAGCTTCTACTGCAACAGAAAGCATTTATGCTGTTTTAGTAAGACCACAGAAGAAACCAGATGCGCAGGAAGAGGTGAGCAAGGATTGAAAGAAAAATAACTCTTAGCATTATTTTCTTTGAAAGGAACATACTAATAACTCTACAAGAGTCCCACGGTTCCCTGTATAAATGCATGATTCTTCCAGATTTCATTAGCTAATTGGGAGGAAGGGGTGGTGCTGAAAAGGAACAAGCCCTAAAATCATTCATTAGTTAAGCAGGATGTGGCCAACAGTCTCAATGATGCATGAGCTTGTCACAGCACTGTTACACAAGGTAGTTCCAGACCATGACATTTATCACCATCCTACTTCAATGCATCGCTCATAATTCATTAAGATCCCCTCCCCAGGTCTCAGCCACAACTTTTAGCTGTTACTGTCACCAACTCTTGACACTATTACACAATTAACAGCAATTCCCCCTTGATTAAAAACACAGGGATAAATGTCAGCAACTGTTGTGCAGCTCTCGTTATCAGCATAAACGCCACAGAAGGCCGACATCAGCCTCCTGACTGCAAGTTACTCACGTTACTTAAACTGTAAAAAACCACAACAATTTACAAGATTATACTTTAAGGCTGCTCTTTCCAATGATCCTGTTTATGGCAGTCTCCCCACCAGCTGTATTGCCATAAGCAGTGGGAAAGGGAGGAACCTCGAAATCCAGCCCCCAAAATCAGTCACCAAGTTACATCCTCCAACAGTTATCTTTTTAGATAGAGGCACTGTCAGACATTCACGTGTGAATACCATCCAAAACTAGAAAGCAGTTAAATGTGAAAACTAATCTCTCAAAAGACAAAATCACTAAAAAGACATGTTCAGTGAAACGACTCAGAAAAGAAACTTCACTTTATTATGTAGCACTGAAGTCATTATTCAGGTTGTGATCCTACAAGTCTCACATCCCTTAAGGATTCATACTCCTGACAAAAAATCAGTGCAAAAATACACAGCTAAAGTGAATAGCCTCTGAACTACAACCAGTCAGAATCCCAGTGTTATCCTGCAAATCTGCAGATATTATGAAACAACTGCAAATAACGAAGACAAGAAAGGAAAACAAAGTTAACAGCTCCACGTTCATCTCATCTCACACTAGGTGAGAAAACAAAAGCGGCAATCTGAAGTCTCTGAAAAAGCCTTTATTTATCACTGTCAAGTGTTTTTGCCAGCTGAATTTCACAGAATTTTTACTGAATTTCCGCTGAAAAGGACAACGTCATCTGTTTCAAAGCTGGAAAACATATTCTTCCCTTGGTGCCTGTCGGTTCCTCGTTTACATCACTCACAGCACTCGGGACCAGGATCCTCACTCCAGTGGGCTCCCCATTTCTCAGTCACAAGCTTAATGAAGTAACTATGACTTGCATACAGCTTGAGCTTCTCACTGATGTCAACCCACTTCACTACTCCAGCATCGTCACCTGCTTCCAGAGGCAGATTATCCATTATCTCACCTGTTCACAAAACAAGAGTTAGAACATGCTGTCACATCATCTTTCCTGCTTTTTCTTCTCACTGATCACTTCTGCCGTTCCGCATGGCTCCTTCACAGGCAGCAACCTTCAACTGCTCCTCAGAGAGAAACCAATTAAGCTGCTCACTGACTCTTTGCCAGAAACCTTTTTCATACTTGCACTATTTTAAGGTAAATCTGAGTGGCAGAGGTGGCGTTAACTCCTTATCACCACTCCTAGGGTACCATCAGCAGCATGACAAGTTACTAGAAATCATTATGACAACATGTACTCACTACTGCAAGTTTAGCCAATCCCTCTGCCTTGATTTTTGTTTGTTTGGCTAACATTTGACTGCTTCCTTTCTCAAGTACTATTCTCCAGGACAAAATGAATTCTGAAATTTATATATGCTTAGGGAAAACCAGAATGATTAAAATTTTACTAAAGGCTCCCAAATCAAAAATAGTACTTAAGGAGGGATGAAGAAAGGCTTCGGAATTGCTCTCCAAAGTTTCTCTCTTTCCAAAAAGAGTTCCAGGAGTTCACAGACAACAACCAGAGAAATGCTTTTAAAAGAAGTATTACAAAATGTGTATTAGAAACAAAGACCAAAGGAACAGCACCTTCACTGTTTCTGGGGGCCAATAAATCAAGGACCAGTGACACATGAAACTTCACCACTGGTACCTACCACCACAAACAGTGGAAATGTCACCATATGAAGTCTCTGGCTTGACCAAGTCAGAGACACCTAACGAGACTGATTTATCTGAAAGAGCGAGAGATGAGAATCCAAGATAACAGATCAATCTAAGAACTAGCAATGTATGCCCGTTGCTACTGATTTACAGAAGTAAAATAAGGTCCAACAATTACTCTGGCAGAGTAACCAAGATAAAAGGTCTCAGAGCAATTACAACCCCAAAGCCATAAATGCAGTGAAAATCTGCCAGCAGCCAGAGACAATGCTCCTGAAGCACACAATAGCTACTAAGGAAAAAATAACAAAAGAAACAGACTATCCTTCCACCCCAAACTCATTAAAAAGGGAAATTAAACCAAATCAAGATAAATACAGCGACAAGAGGGAACCCTTGTCCAATGTTCAATCTCCATACAAAGGCACATGGCCCATAGCTTCGAACTAGCTAACAAATGAATAAATTTTCAGGCAAAGTCCATATGGTTTCCGTCAGTCGTGAAATAAGGAACAAAGGGGAACAACAACTACCTGTCATGGCTGAACATCTTAGGAGACAAGAGACCCTCATGCCCATTGGTTTTAGTCCAATATTTTACACCTGACTTGCATGGTCCCCAATTTCATTGACAATCTCAGCCCAACATTAATCCCAATTTCAAACCAACATATAGAGTAAAAGGCAACTAATAGCACATGTGGAGATACCCACCGGTTTCGTCATGATAGTTCACAGCTTCCGTCTCCATCCAGGCATTATCAGTGTTACGAGGGTCATCCACATACCCTCTGTACACCTAAGGCCCCGAACAAACCAAAACAAGCTCAGTGTCACAACAAACAAGGTGGAATCAAGAAGAAGATTTTTTCTTTCCCTCCGATACATTTGCAGAGTTTTCAATAATCCCTTCCATCTCCTACACCATGACAACCTGAGCATCACAGCTTATTTTCATTTCGGCTACACTTTTTCAAGTTCCATACAGCTGCGAGTTACATGCATAGCTCAAGAGGCTATCCACAAGAGAAAGAGCTCACCACAAAGTGTTCCTGGCTGAACAGCTTGTGGAGTTGCTTCTCCAATTCCGCTTTCTCCTCAGGCGATTTCTGCAAGGAGTTCAAGGCCTCCTCCTGAAATTCTCGCTTCAGGGTAGCGCTAATCTTCTCCCCTGGGTCCACCATCCCCTTGGAGGGGGGAAAAGAAAAAAGGTGACTGTCCCTCAGATTCCACTTGTTTTTACTCCCCTTTGACTGGCTTTTAGGATATTACATCCACCTGCATCATACTCTGGTCACAGGAGGAACTTTACACCCAGTTGTAAAGAGCAAGCACAGACATCCTTCAAAACCTGCAACGGATTAAATTGTGCCTGCATTAGGCAAAAGACATGGTCAGAATTAAATACGAATTGCCTTGCAATGCAGAAACAGCAGAAAGCATACCAGCTGATGCTTGGGCAAAGCTAGTTTAAGGAGTATTTCTCCTCACCTCTGCAACATGAGGTCATTCATCAAAAAGCATGCTTTTATCACACGCACACCAGTTATCACCTCATGGCCTTACCAGCGGGGAAATGTCTGCTGTCTCTGAAGTTTTGCTCTTACCCCTGGAATGGCCCACTCCCCACAGTCTCTCCTCTTGATAGCTACGAACTGTAAGATGTTTTTGCCAGTAACTGGATGAGCAATTTTATTGCCACTTCTATCCCTCTTCCACCTGCAGCAAACAACAAACAACAACATGCTTTGCTGCTTCTTGACACGAGGGGCTGGGAGAGGAACAGCAAGGCGCCCACGCTCTCACCTGGATTCGAGAAAATTACAACAGAGAGCTAGGGGACCCTCAAGATGTTTTTGCCAGTAACTGGATGAGCCAGTTTGAGACTTTATTGCCACTTCTGTCCCTCTTCCACCTGCAGCAAACAACAAACAACAACATGCTTTGCTGCTTCTTGACACGAGGGGCTGGGAGAGGAACAGCAAGGCGCCCACGCTCTCACCTGTGCGGGGGCAAAGCAAGCAGAGAAAGCACACCCGCGGGGTGGGGACTGGCAGATGCCGTCCGGCCAGATCGCAACCAAGGGCAGAACACTGAGCTTTTTGCACACCTCCACCAACTGCGTTTCCTCAGCCAAAGGGGCAGAAACCGCCCAAGAGCCACATTTTTCCGTAGCCACGCTGACAGCAGCAGCTCCTTTGAGAGCTACGTCCAGCACAGGCTATCAGCTGCAACACCCACCCAGCTGCACTTGTGCCTACCCATAAGGAGAAGGTAAGCATGCCTTCTGCTGGAGCGGAACGCACATGCAGGCTGCGACACCTCTGAACCACTCACCCAGCACAAGACCACAAATACCCACCATTGCCTTCAGTAAAGAATTAATACCAATAGTTAAAGCAAAAAGCTGTGTAAACAAAGACAAAATAAAAACAACTTTTCTTTTACTTTCAAGGAAACAAGTCAGTAGCACTGGCAGCCTTCTGAAAAGGGGAACAAGTAAAATGCATTACGCTGATTTTCACAATGGTTTTATCTTCAGCATGGCACTTCCTAGCTTGCACCTTTGTTAACTACAGAATCTTTTCTGAATGCTGACTTTGTGTAAAATAGTTAGCATGTACACACAGACCCTGCTGGCAAAAGCACTATTAAAACAGAGCATACACTGACAAAAAAAAAAGTGTAACCTCACCTATTCCTATAATATACTAGGCCAAGTTAGTATTTCTTCCAGAGCAAAAGCAGGCACACTGCTTTTTTTTTTTTTTCAGGTTTTTAAATCTTCTTCCTCAGCATTTCAGAACCCATTGTTGTCATTAGCAGTGAGTCCTTACTCTTTTGCAGGGACAGACTAAAAAATTATGAAATTCGTGTTCCACACATCTATATACCTCTCCATTCAGATACCAATACCTGAATGAGCTTACACATAGAGGAACACATGCAAAAGGCCCGTGAAAAGTAATAGCCTGTCCAGAAATGCACAGAAAAAGCAAACTGCATGGGTTTTTTTGCTGTACTGCAGGGCCCCTTTCAGTCACCTGTCCCTTACCTAGTTACAACAGGATCAGCAGCATGGTTTGGTCCCCAGCGCCCCAACAATCCTCTGCCTGTGAGGCCAGTCCTTCCCACCGGATTTCTGGAATAAGTGGCACAGTACATTAAACATATTTACTTCTCCACATGCAAAATATGCTCCGAGTATTCTAAAAAAACAGCTTTAAAGAAGCTTAAATAACAACAAAGGAAAGGATAGCAGCGTATATTTGGTGCCGCCATATGCTTTAAAGAGCAAGCGAGACAAAGCATGGTTTTCTCCTTCATCAACCTCTTTTTGTGTTTGACAGTACAGGGAAAGGAAATATACAAAATGGCTTTGTCATTTCCCAGATCTCGTGTCCCAAGATAACCCTGATCAAGTGTTATTCTCATTGCGCACACAACTTTGTCTCAAAATGGAATCTAGTTTCCAAGACCATAGATGCACAGAGCATTCAGTTATGTACAAATGGCAGAAAGAAAAGAAATTATTTTTAGGTGAGATTACCCATCTGTGCTATGCCAGGATTTGTCAATGGAAGGAAATACTCTCCTGCTCCGCCATAGCACATAAGTGATACAAAAGCTTCAGAGCCCAACACCTGGTCAAACTGTGGAAACAGTTAATTCAATAGACCCTACTATTAACAGTGTTAGACCTCCTCTGACTCCAGTGTCGCCACAACCCTCTGTTGCGGTAGTACTGGCCAACCTTTTAGTGCCTCTCTGCCACAACCTTCTTCCAGGAAGAACTCTCTGACTCTGAGGTATCATTTTTCCTGTCTCTAGGGGAAACAATCTTGATTTTGTTCTAGCAGGTACCATGTATCAGAACTGACAGACCTATAAGAGCTCTGAAACTACATTCCTGAAATGAATAGGCAAACAAAAAAACACTCACCGGGGCCTCCCGTTTTCAACCACATACAAGCCATTCAGACTCTTCCGCTCCACTTCTCCATCTCTCTCATTGAATTTGGGATAGAAATCTTTATTACTGTGTGGAAAAGAATAATTTAATAGAGATAAGTTAGAAAACGCAAACCACCCCTCTACCCCACAAAAGCGTGAAGGCCAACCACCACACTGGCAACACGCATTTGACCAATGAGCAGTTTTTACCAGAACTTCAGTTGCAGGCCCTCCCCTTTCTATAGGGAGGCTATAAAGTCTCAGCCTTTACTGATGACAGTCTCCCTGTATTCAGCTCTGCAGACATAAGCGTGCCCTTCTGAAGTATTTAACACTGCGTCTCTCTAGATTTTCATTTAGACAATATGTTTCAAAGGTGTTCTTGTTAAGGTTAGAGAACACAGAAGGACATTATCCATCGATAAAACTAAAAAAGATTTTGCTAATTAAAAAAATGAGCAAAAATTTTTATTAGATATGATTTATCAGAGTCACAAGCTAATAATCACTGATTTTCAAAATTAGCTTAAGGCCAATCTCCTACGTGCACCTCTGAAAACTGGTAGAGAAGCAGCTATTTGTCTACAGAAGTGTACTTCCTTTCCCAAAAGCAATTCCTCTCAAACCATAACAGGTTTCAAACTACTGACTAGCTTCTTCCACATATAATTAATTTGGGAAGCTACACTAATACTTGAAAATGCAGACTCATTGTTTAGGTATTGCTAACACCTAAAACACCTACCTGACACTTTCCCAACTATGCCTTGGCATAGCAGCCCTACAGAGTCTGAGGAGTAGTGTGCCCTGCAATCAGCAGAACACTATACCAAATTAAGAGCAAATAGAAGCACATGTTCACACAGCAATAGGAAACAGGTAAGGTAAGGCTGAAACCTCAAGTGCCATTATCTTCTGTTCTTTCTACACAGATATGCATACACAGGAATCACCATTTCACATCATCACAAGTTACACTAGATGCATGCATCTAACTTGCCAGCCAAGAAGCATACAGCATTCCTTGAGAGAATATATTCACAGAATCAATAAAAATGAATACACACATTCACAAAAAAAGAATTAGTCACGCATTCAACATGTCACATTTCCTAAGTCAAAGCATTCAACTCAAGAACTATAATTCTACTTTAATTCTTTTCTCATCTTGCAATCCAATCCACGAACAAACAAACAAGTATATTATGAAAATGTTCTCCCAAATTCTTAAGGAGAATTAGGAGATTTTTACTTAGCTCACAACACAGAGAAGCAGCACTACACAGCATCAACACCTGTCCACTATTCCAATTAACACTACTCTTATCTCAATCTCTTATCTCTTATCTCAATCACCAACTCAGTAAAACCATGTGTCAAAGACCTTCACAGCTAACCCAAACCACTCAGTTCTCTAACCACCATTTTTCTAGGTCTTGACTTTCATACATCACTGTAGAATCACATATCACTTAAACTGATGACCTGACTAACTCAGCTGTTCCCTATTTCCCTCTTCCATGTTCACAGGAGAAAAGAGCCACAATTTCCACTCACCCAATTTGGGGATCTGCCCAGCTGGGTCCAGCCAAAACAGACCCTGCAGTGTACTCCACAGGATTATAATCCTTCCACTCAATCAGCCAGCCCACTTTATCTTCAGGAACTTGGCTACGCTCAACACGTGATCCTGGATACGGGGAGGTGAGAGCTTTGCTGTGGTAGAGCTTAACATTGTAACTGTCGAACATGCTAACAGGATGAAGACTTGACCAACAGTTTGCAGACAAGTTACTAAAAGAAAAAAAAAAAAGACATCTCATTCATTAGGCTTTAACCCTGTTATTTAATCCCATATCTGTATAATATATTGTAGCAAGCAGAGCAGATTAGGCTATTTCCACAAAACAGCTCTCAGTCAGACATTATGTTCTTTCAGACATCATGCAAATGTATGTCTGGACAAATAAATTCTGAATTTTACCCTCAGCTTCTTGAAGCAGAAGAGTACTCTGCTAGACACACATGAAGATTTCATAGCATGAGTGAGAAGCTGAGAACTAGAACTGCTATTCCAGATTGTGTGGAACACTGACCAGTTATTAATCATATACAAGGAACACCTCAAAGATATTTAGCATAAATGCAGCAGGAAGGTCTGCTTGAGCATTAAATCTCCATGTGGGCATTTCATCAACCAACCAACCCAGGCTTAAGAGAGTCCTACTCTCACATCAAGTGGTAGACCAGGAAAGAGCAAGACTGAAATATCCAAAAGCCTGAGCAACACAGCCCTACAAGTTGCTGTGACCACCAACATATAATTCTGTGCAATACCGAGTAGAATAACACATACCTTGTTTTTCAATTCCAAAGAAAGACAGAACTACCAAACTAGATAAGTTAAAACAAAAAAATACTTGAGACCTCTAGTGATTTCATTTTGCCATGGGTTTTTGGGAGCTGAAAGACCAGTCAGCAATAAAATACTTAACAGCAGATTAGGTTACAGTGCCTGACCACCAGCTCTTAAAAAACTCTACGCAGATTTCCTTCAACACACAAAGCGGCCTTCTTGTACTCATTTTTTTAACTGTTATAAAAATAAAGAGGATTACTCTAGATAAGAGGCTCAGAAAGGGGCTATAACTTAGAAGGGTACGCTAGAAACAAGATATTTGTAACTTCTTAGTGAAAAACTTTTTTTTTAAATCAGTAAAGAATCACTTCCAGCATATAAGAAAACAGATCTCCTCTACAAAAATACATCAAGGTTTTAACAAATTAACATCTGAGCAGGGTGATGATGGGACCAATGAGTTTCAGATAAAAAAAGAAAAAAACAACTCACGCATTAAGTATTAACCCTGCTATTTGAGCCCAGATATGAAGATTACATTATAACTAGCAGAACAGGCTGGGCTTTTTCAAAAAAAGCAGTTCCAGTTCTAAAATCCTCATTCATGCTATGAAATCTTCAGACGCATCTAGGAAAGCAGGTTCTGCATCACACTGAAGTTGAAAATTCATCAGTCGCAGTTACAGCATGCGTGTGCCGGCACGTTGACCGCTGAGGCGACGTTCCCAGGAGCACAATTAAGCTCACAAACCACTCGAGGCTCGTAGAATCTCTAACAGAGATGTGGAAAGGGCATACTTGACCCGGTGCCAACCTCCGCACGCAGGTCAACATCACATCACTTCCGTATTGTTCAGTACCTGCACGGGTTTAGTTTCAAAGGACAGCCTGATTTTCGTTCCTGCCGCGTCCAAAAGGGACGGCCTCAGCTCCGCAGCACAGCCCCTGCCAAGCCCCCCCCAGCCGGCGGGGGACGGCGAGGCAGCCCGGAGCTCTCGGCCTAGCGACGAGGCCTGGCTGCCCCCTCGAGAACAGGGCACCACCTCAGCGGGGCCGAACGCCGGCAGAGCCACCCACTCGGGCAGGCTGCGAGGCTCCGGAGCACCGGCCCCAGCCTGGCCTGGGCGCCGCCCAGCTTCACCGGCAACAGGCCACGGTACCTGAGGGGCGGGCGGCGCTGCAGAACACACCGGGCAGGCGGGACGGACAACGCAACAGCGAAAGAAAACACGGAGACTGCCCGAGCGAAACCGGGCACCGTCGCCGAGCGCAGGGCGGCGGCGAGGAGTTTAGACTGCATATTGTCCTTCTGCGTCAGATCTAGCCCTCTCTAACAGCAGCTCCAGGCGGAGCAGTCTTCTCCTGGGAATGCTCCATCTTAGAGAGTCGCTCACTGCTGGCAACATGTGAACTCCCAAGCCAGGGATTTTACTGGCATTACACCGTCCAAATCAATAGCAGTCAATAAACTCTCTGGTTCTACTTTCTTTGGCGTTGATTTAGACTGTTGGCCTGCACCAATTTCTGTGGCAGTATGTTCCTCAACTTTTGCAGGCATAATGCTTCTCTGTTTCAAAACTCACACGCAAATGTCACGAGACACTCCGGTGCGGTACGAGGCACAGTAGAGGGTTGTTCTCCATTTCTACTCTGCCCAGCCTTCTTAATGTCAGAGATTCAGGCTGCATTCCTTCTAAGAGTCTTCTCACATGGGAGAAACGGCAAGTCCATTGATTGTTGCATATTAGTTGTCATTTTCTAACAATCCCTGACATTCGTCTGTCTGTTTGCAACTAAGGTGACTTCTTCTGAAAGACACCCGCTCTGCATGCCACAATTACTTCCCCAAGCAGCAATATCTACTCCAGGACTACACTCTGGCACAGGGAAAGTTAGAATTAGTCTCTGCCGTGCCTCTTAGCTGGATTACATTTTTTTTTTTGCCTCCCAGTCAGTACTGTGTGATCTTTTAGGCCATTTCCCTTTGTAGAAAGTTAGAAACAGTATTTCTGCCTTCTCATTTGTGCTTTTTCCCCTCCTGCAGTTCCAGCAAGTTTGCTGCAGTTGGATTTCATAAAGCTCTGACAGAGGAGCTGTCTACCCTGGGAAAGGATGGAATAAAAACGACATGTCTTTGTCCAGTTTTTATAAACACTGGATTTGTCAAAAATCACAGTACAAGGTAAATATCAAATCCTGTCTTCGAA